CACTACACTTGGAGAAAGTGAAGACTGAGACTGCCAGCTTCATGCCGCCCGAGGGACCAGAACCACTCCGTGCAGAGACTGATGGCTGGGCTCAGCCTGAAGCGAGAGTCCGTGAGGCTGGCCTGACAGAAGACAGGGTGAAAAACAGCTTGCTAAAGAAGAAGGGATGGTCTGTGTCTGGACATTCAGGAAGAGAGAGAGAAAAATGGAAGCTCCAGGGACTAAGAACTGTGGACAAGTGGAGGAGCAGGGAAGAAGGGAGAGGAGGAGGAGGAGGAAGAGAGAAGGGAGGAGATGGCAGAGCAAAGCGGATGCGGCAAGCCTGCAGTCCCCGCCAGTCAGGAGACTGAGGTAAAGGGATCAGGAGTTACAGCAGGTTAGGGAGACCTTGTCTCAAATCTGAAATAGTAGCACGGCCTAGAGATGCGTAGCTCAGTTGGTTAGGCACTTGCCCAACCTGCATGAAAACCTGAGCGCAATCCCCAGCACTGCATAAAAACAGCTCTAGTGAAGCACGCCTATAATAAAAACACTCGGGAAGTAGAGGCAGGAGAGTTCAGAGATAACCCTTGGCTGCACGGCACATTGAAGGCCCACCTAGTAATAACAGTAATAATCATGACAATAATAAAATCTAAGGGTCTTATTAGCCATCCCACAAGCCTACAGCTTTGTGCTGAAGAGCTTGGGAAATTACAAAAGGGTTTTCACTGGGGAAGAAGTGACATGATGAGGTCTCTGTTTTAAAAAAATCCCGGTGACTGCAGCCCAGAGAATCAACTGGAGTGCTCTTGGAAGAGCATGTGTTTGCTATTTCCTTTCCCTGCCAAAACTGTACCAGGAGAATGGTACTCCAACAACGTGAGTAGCTACTGCTGGATACTGGAGGCTTTCCCAAACTTCCCAAAACTAAATTCAGGGAGAGGATGGTGCAAGGCTGGTGGAGGGTAGCCGAGTGACTTCTGTTTACATGTCAAATCACCAGATGGACATCTAGGGCCTTAGAGGAGGCCTGTGCATGGGCAGCAGCAGGCCACTAGTACCTCCGATCTTCACTGATAACTGAGGTGCCCCAACCAGCCCTATTCACAGGGTCTCGATCGATTTCCTCAACACACAGAGGAGAAACTCTCTGCCCACTGACTCCCCTGGTCAAAGCACCCTAACAGGCTTGAGCTGCTGGAAGAGAACCCTTCCCTCCCCCACAGCAGCTCGACACACACCACCACCACCACCATCACTCACACACACACACATACACTCCACTAACTATGTATACATAGACCTTTGCACTTCTTTCAGAGCTCCCTAATGTGAAAAGACAGAATGACGCTCTTTCTTTCCCAGACTCAGAAACTCTGCAAGTGCCATCCATGTTCCTTGTATCCTTCGACTAAAGCAAAGGGTAGAGAACACAAACTAAACTCCTGAAGGGCCCCAGCAGAGCAGGGATGTGTACGGACGGGTGTTTGTCTACCCTGTAGTACCCTTTGGATACTTTTTAAGATTTGGTTCGGTTCTAAAACTTCTGAGACACTGTCCTACTACTCAGCCCAGGGTGGCCTGAAACTCTCCATCCTCCTTGCCTCCGCGTCCTAAGTTCTGGGATTACAGGCAAGCATCACCAGACCTGGCTCTAGATACTCTTAACCTGTTCCTCGGTTAAACCACTGCACACAGAGAAACGGAAACATGCTTTTGACCACCACCACCTCCGTGGAGGTTAGCTAAATTCTACTAGGGAATGATGCCACAAGTTATACCCAAGGTTGTGACAAGATGTAGCTGAGAAGTTTGTCATCTTCAGGAAGGGTACTGAGAACACAGCCCCTAAGTTTACAAGGGTCCTCTGTATAGAGACCACTGGGGGGAAGTTTGTCTCTGATCTAGACTCCAGAAATTACTGTGCTGGTTCTGACCATCTGACTTGTCGTGGCACTGATAATTTCACCCTCTGAATTACTAGAAAGCTAGGGCCAAATCTGTGACCCAGCCCATCCCACAAGGGCTCACTCTGTATCTGCTGCCGCACACACCACACTTTCAGGATGTGTCTCTCCTCCTTTGTTGCCTTTTGCCCTAGTTTCTTCCCCTTCATATAATGCATGGAGGCCCCCCCCCCATAACTCCTTGTTGGAGCACGGTGGAAATGAAAATAGATCAAAAGTAGAGCTATACAGGTTTGGGGGGTCAGGTCAGTTGGTAGAGCGCTTGCCTAGCGTTCGGGAAGCCCTGGGTTTGATATCTAGCATTGTATAAAATCAGGTGTGGTGACACATGCCTGTGATCCCAACACTACAGAGGCAGGAAAACCAGAAATTCAAACCATATAGCAAGTTGGTGGCCAGCCTGGACTACATGAGACTCTGTCTCTGAAAAAAAAAAAAAATAGTATTAGCTATCCCTTGTGGTAACCATTGCAAAGCAGCTACTCATGAGAATCAAACAAGTAGAGTGTAACTCCTGATGATCAACTGGGGTAGGAAGCAGGAGAATGGCATAGACAAAAAAAGAAAAAAAAGTGGCACATGCCTTTAATCCCAGCACTCGGGAGGCAGAGCCAGACGCATCTCTGTGAGTTCGAGGCCAGCCTGGTCTACAGAGTGAGATCCTGGACAGGCACCAAAACTACACAGAGAAACCCTGTCTCGAAAAACTAAAAAAAAAAAAAAAAAAATCTTTAGGGTATTTTCTGATATTTTCTAATTCTGTTCAATGCAGAATTTATCAAATAATAGAAAAGAACCCTTGTCCACCCAGATTTGGCAAGACATAAATGATAATTGGAACCTGTCTGTCTGGATGTCTACTACTGATGACCTTTAGGGACTCTCATTGAACCAAACTTCAAGAGTTCTTTACTGAACCAAATGCTTGCCTCTCTGCTATGTCTATATGTGGCAAGAATTCTAATTGGCCTTAATAATAAAAACCCCGAGTCAGATATCAGGGTGAAAGCTGAAAGATCAGCAGGCTCCATTTCTAAGCTCCTCCTATGCCTTGACGGTAGCCAGGTGATGGGAGACTGGAAGATCCTCTCTGTTTCTTTAATGAACATCAATGGGAATTCAGCCTTCAGCCCTCCCTCCCTTCTCTTGCCACAGTGGTCACAGGTGAGTATGTTAGCAAGGATATGGTGTATGAACAGCAGTTCCTGGAATGGCGGGTCAACGGAAAAGGACGGCTGCTTTGGCGACCTACTCTGCCTTAAAGCAGGCTCAGCACCAGCGATATCTGAACTGTTGTTATGCTAAGCCAGTTGGGCTATTTTTACCACAACACAGATTGTCGAGCTTAATCGATATAAAGCCCTTCTATGAACTAGAAGTACCCTCTTCAGTACCACCATAGAAAGAAGGGAAATAATAACCTCCTCACTGAAGGACATAACACCCAAGCTGGAGTGCTTCTGACACTTGTAAGCCATCAGACTCAATTCTTAAATTATGTATAAAGGTCTACTGAAAGATGATAAGGAGAAAATGCTAATCTTTATATTGTTGCTTTGATAAAAGTGAACTTTGAGCTGAGCATGGTGGTACATGCCTTTAATAACAGCACTCCAGAGACAGACAGGCAGATCCCTGTAAGTTAGGTCAAGGCCATCCTGGTCTACATTTAAAAAAAAAAAAACAAAAAACAAACAAAAAAAACCCAAAAAACAAAAAAACAGGCAGTAATTGCACATGCCTTCAATCCCAGCACTCAGGAGGCAGAAGCAGGTGGATCTCTGTGAGTTTGAGGCCAGCCTGGTCTACAGTGTGAGTTCCAGAACAGCTGACAGCCAGAGCTACACAAAGAAACCCTGTCTCAAAAAACCAGTAGTGGGGGGATCCTTGAGCTGCTAATGGAGTAACTTAGCAAAATATGTGCTTAGCATGTGTGATGCTGTCGTCCAATCCTCAGCATCAAAAAGAAAGCTTTTGTACAGCATTATGTTGTTTGCCTGTTGACAAGGTACTGATCATGATGGAGGATGGACCAGAGATTCTGAGGAACAACCTTTTGGTTACATGACTCGTGCTGACACTATGTGAAACCACCACTGGTCTGTATGTGGCATCTAAAAACCAAATACAAATTAAGAAAGAGTTAAATTTTTCTTTTCTTTACTGTATTCCTAACAATAATTAGAAGTCTGTAACACAGGTGTTCTGGGCACAGTGGTATATGTACTGTAGGGATCTAATAAATATTCATGAGTGAGGATGAAATGATTGTCATTGAATGGTGGAGCGATCTTCACGGAAGCTAATTCTCAGAACATATTTCCTATTTTGAGGTCAGCACCCAGACCAAACACTTGCCCCTTGTTGCCAAGCCTTCAGGACTCCCATGAGAGCATGGAAGCACTGTTCTGACCTCCTCGGAGGTCCTCTGACCTCCTCGGGGCTCTCCGGAGCTCTTCCATTTCTCTCTTGGAGATGAAGGCTACTTACTCTCTCTTACTCTGATTTGCTCCTCCACTGGCTTGCACAGAAGCCGCTTTCATTCTTGCCATCTTGCCCAGAACCTGAATTTCCAGGTCTTTCCTGATAGTGACTCAATAGTACTCAATAGTTTGCAACTCAAACTTCTCTAATTAATTTGCCTCCTCCTGTTGGGATAGGCCTAAATGATTGGGCCAGCCATATGGAATATTAATTTCCTATGCAAATGAGGCATTAGTAATCATTGAGTACTGCACATTTTGGTGAGCAGTGAGCCATTTATTATTTATCAAACACAAGATTAAGAGACAGTTTGGATCAAAAATCCTGTTGCAAAGAATTTAATAACAACTTCCCTAATTTTCAGAATAAAAGAGAATAAATTAGGCAGTCATTACATGACCTTCACTGCCTAAGGAATTGAGCTGTCCTGGAAACTGCAAATTGGGGTGTTGGCTTCAGCCTTGGGCTGCCAGGACACCTTAGGGGACCACAAACAAGAGAAGAAGCTGGCAGGGCAGATTTTGCAGAAGGACAAAGACAGAATACTGAGTGCACCCATACACGTACCTGCCGGGCCACAGCTATTCCTACAGTACGTCTTAAATTCAGGAAGAGGCAGTGTATCCGTTCACCCAGCGGCAAATCAGAGTGCTGGTTGTTGCTAGCGTTGAAGTGACCTGCCAAGATGGGATGGAACCAGGAATCACAATGGAGACCAAGGAAGCAAGCATCTGAAAGTACACACGTCTTCTCTTTGCATGCCATTGCTGATTTACAGTGGGTTTTTTGTTCGTCTTTGTTTTGAGAAAGGGTTTTACTATGTAGCTCAGGCTAGCCTGGAAATCATTATCCTCCAGCCTCAACCTCCTATATGCTGGAATTAAAGGCATGTGCCACCACACTGGGCTTATACTGATTCTTTTCATGATCTTTTTTTTCTTTATAGGCTAAATAACATTACATCAAAGTTGTTCCAGTGAAAACTGTCACCAAAAAGAGTCTTAGGCAATCAGCTTGAGATAAAGGAGTATCTCTCCCTCCTCCTCCCAGCTCTGTTTCTGTGTTCATCAGAAGAAACCTAGAAGGGCACTGCAAGGGGACTCAGAGGATGTCCTGGTCCCTGGTGTCTGGTTGAAGGCACGGCTAGTTGTTGCAAATTGTGGAATAATACCAGCAGTGCGGAAAGAAAGGAGAACTCCCTTCCACAGCTCCCAAACGCTTGCCTTGACTGTGTTGCTAGAGATGGATCTGAGATGTTTTTATGTTGGGGCTATACGGCATCACATCAGATTTAGGCCCCCTTCCTCACTAAATGAGCCCACGTTGTAAAACAACTCAGCTGCAGTGAGCAGACCTCCAAACGATGCTGGGCCACAGATCTCTCCATCTGCCATAACACTGGGGATGGTGATGAATTTTGATGGGGCGGAAAACAACTCTCTATATGCTGGTAGGGCGGCACACACCGAAGGTCAGTGAGAAATCTATTTCGAAGAGAAGTTTTGGGCACGCTCACACTTGCTGGCGTGTTTTTGCATAAGTGCTGGAGATGTCACAAATGTGGTTCATGCAGTGCTACGTGTTTACCAGATACACCACATTTAGTTATTCAAACAGCCCACATCATCCCGAGACAATAGTCTGATGTGGTGATATTTTATTTGTGCTGAAATGTGATTTTATTTGTATGTTAATAAATAAAGTTGCCTGGAGAGCAGAGGTCATAGCCATTTAGCAGAAGTCTGGCAGTGGTAGCACACGCCCTTAATCCGATCACGTGGCAGGCAGAGTCTCTGTGTGGTCAAGGACACAGCCAAGTGGTAACACAAATCTTTAATCCCAGTACCAACCACAGAGACCTGGAGGTCTGTATAGACAGGCAGTGACGAGGAAGTCATGTGGTTGGGTTTAGAGCCAATGAGAAGGCAGAACAGAAAGGCAATAAAAAGACAAGTCACACAGGAAGGAGGTCTCTCTCTCAGAGGAAGGAGGACAATGAGTGGTAAGCTAAAGGCTAGTGCTCTGATCTCTTGGGCTTTTAACTCTGTATTTGGCTTTGTGTTTCTTATTTAATAAGACGGTTTAGAAATTCGTCTACAGTCTGAGAAGTAAAATCTTTGTCAAAACACGTTCTTTTGTAGGGTCTGTAATCCAGCTATTCAAAGGGCTGAGAAAGAGGCCTTCCTGGGCTCTGGAGTAAGGTCAGAGCCAGGAAACTTAGTAGTTCCTGTCTCAAATATAAAAAGAATATGGAGGGCCAACGCCACAGTTCAGTGGTGGGACACTTGCCTAGCGTTTGTAAGGCCTGGCATTCAGTCCCTAGTACCAAAACAAACAAACATTAACACTATTCTTTTTTTTTTCTTTCAAGACAGGATTCTCTGTATAACAGTCCTGGCTGTCCTGGAACTCTCTCGGTAGACCAGGCTGGCCTCAAACTCACAGAGATCTGCCTGTCTTTATTGACATATAACAGCTGACTACTAAAGTGAATCTTTCCAATGGATTTCTGAGGTCACGCTCAGGCACTGAACTAACTTTGCTAAGTTACGTGAGGAGAAAGGGTATGGGTGTGGAAAGACGCAGCTGCGCCATTTCCATGTGGGATTTCCCTGCTGTGGGTCTGGAGCATGCTGTAGAGGGCACTCTCCCCAGTCAACAGAATTCCCTGGGCCTCAGAAAACAGGAAAATCGTACTTCTCCACTCAAGAGCATTTTTTCCTGAGAACAGTTTTCTCAATGATCAAGTTAAATTATTAAATAAATACCACAAGGAACTCAAGTTCCCGCCACGCTGTGGTGACCATGTGCCTGGCTCCTGTCATTCCCACAGCCGAACTGGCTGCTGGTGTAACTCAACTTTTTTCTTCCTACAAGCTGGTGTAGCTGAAGCATTAGAGCACTGGAGAAAGACATAAAAACTGCAAGTCAGAGGCATCCTTCCTCTTCTTCCTCGTCTTCTCTGAGTGGCCAACACGTTTAAAAAGCAGCACTTACAATTATGAAGCCGTTATAAAAACATTTTAAGAATTTGAAAGTACGTTAAATTGACACAAGAGAATAGACACAAGAATGTGGCCTAATGTCAGCTCGGGGAGCAAATGTAACGCACTAAAAGTTGCTCCATTTAAAAAATAAAATGTCCAAAACTTATGGGAGACTTTTTTAAAATTAAAAAGTCTCTATTCAGGAAATGGATAGGTAGTTTTCTGGGGCTGCCTTAATGACCAACACAAATTGTCAGATAAGAAGTTGAGCTGTGTTGAGGGGAATCAAAATGAACAAAAGATTCTTTTTCCTATAAACAACAAACATAAGCTGTGATGGCCTAGCATGAAATCGTAGGTAAATCTGTCAGCTTTCAATTCCACATACCAAATTGCTTTCCTTTCTGCAAGGGTAGGAGGCATAAATAAAGAAAATGAAGGCCTGAAAAAGATGGAAATTTGATCCTGAACTTCTCCAAAATATTAATAACAGTAGTAGCTACAGCTTATGAATCCTGACCATAGGCCAGGCATGGGGATAAGCATTTTCTGTGTGTCTCTTCCTGCACTTAACATTCAAAATAATCCTTATAAGTAAGGACTCTTATTATCCTAAAATTATAGATGAGGAAATCTTCCATCTTTCCAAGGCTCGCCCCCCAAATCCAACAGTTGCGATGAAAATTGCCCACTACTAGCAAGAATGGGGTTATCTAGGGCTGGGCTCTGCTGGTGTCCCGTGGCAAGCAGGAAGCCAAAGGCTTGACTCTACCCAAATTGAATTTTGTCTGGTTCCTGCTGGAACTCTGAGCAACTGAGTCCTTTGTGAAATCTCTCATCAGCACGCTGAAACACATCAGTAAACCTTTCAGTGCTCGCTTCTCAGAGGCCAGCAGGTGTCATGGGAACTGTGCATGTTCATCAGTTTGGTTGTAGGTATTAAATCATTTGATATTCATGTAAGATGATTAATAAACTATGGTTACTATCAAAGACTTGTTCCCACAGAAATTTAGTAGCCTGAGCAAATGAATAACTTCAGAGCTTTAAACCAATAGGTACTCCAAAATGGAATTGCTTCACAAACGGTACTGGGTTGGTTATATAAGTTTATATATATATATATGAAATTTGCTGCATCTCCAAGGCCATGAACTGTGGCATCATGAATAGCAGCCAGATACTAGAACCATCACCATTCATCACCAGGAATCTGTCCAAAGAAACCACGGCAAATCCACACAACCAAGCACCATGCTACTGGAGGAAGAAAGTTCTCTACCACCATGAGGATTACAAGAACATATTATTAAGTAACATAAACAAGGAGTCAAGGGACAAGATTTATCATCTTCTGAAACCTCAAAGCCTATGCCCAGACACACCTCCTTCAACAAGGCCACACCTCCTACTCCTTCCCAAAGAGTTCCACCAACTGGGGACCAAGTATTTAAACATATGATCCTATGGGGGCCATTCTCATTCAAACCAACATGTCAGGCATTCTAATTTTCAGTGGTAGATACCTACTATCTTATATAATAGGACCCAATGCACCCATGAGAAAAACATTCTCATCTTCATTTTACAAGTAAATAAACTAAAGCTTGGAATAGTTAAGATGTCTTTCCAGGGCCACAGGCCTTTTTTTTTTTTAAACAACTTTACTGATGTATGTTTTGGAACTATTAAGTCAGGTGTATAATTCAATAACTTTTAGTTAACATTGTCCAATGCTGCAACTATGACCATAAACCAGCTCCAGGCATTTCTGTCCCTCCAACTGAATCCTTCATGCCCATTCATAGTTAACTTATTCTCATATTTTTACCCCAGGGAGTGATTAATCTACTTCCTGCCTATAAGTTTGCTTTTCCTGAGCATTTCATCAAATTAAACCATAGCTCTGTAGTATCTTGTAAAAGTAGCTTTTTAAACTTAGCATGTTTTTGAGATTCATCCAGGACCCAGCATCTCAGTAATCCATCCTTCTTCACTGACTACTGGTACTCCACTGTAGGGATATACCAGTGTTTTCTCTACCTACTCACTAGTCCATGGACATTTGGATTGTTCTAGTCTTGAGATACTATGAATAACACTGTTGTGAATATTTCTGGCCAAGTCTTTCTTTCAATTACACTTTCATTTCTCTCTACCTTAGAGTGAAATGGGAATGTTATACAGAAATTTTTAATTTTTTTTGAGACACTGCAAAGTATTCCAAAGTGGCTACACTATGTTGCATTTCTGGAGGCAATGTACGGAGTGTCCGTTTCTCCACTTCTTCAACAATAGTTCTCATTGTCTGCCTTATTTTCAAGAGATACTTGAGGAGTGTGGAATGCTATCTCATCATGGTTTTAAATTACATTTCCCTAATGACCAATAATGTGGGACCTCTTCTTTCACTTTTCACACACACACACACACACACACACACACACACACACACACACACACGTATCATTTTTTGTTTTTTGCTGAAAAAAATCTGTCTTTTGTCCACTTGAGTCTTTATCTTCTTATAAATTATAGGTTATAATTGCTCTATATAAACTCTTTACACTCTTTCACTGGGTGTGTTTTAAAACTATATTCTTTCAGTCTGTTTCTTGTCTTTTCATTTGAACTATTTTTGCCTTTTTTAAATTTAATATAATTTTTAATTGATTTTTGGGGACTCTCAC